TGGATTTGAAGTCCCTTCAAATTCAATTTACAGAGGTTCAAATAACTTATAAAACATAAACAATATACAGGTTGACCCCATGTACAACAATTTTACCTACAACAATTCTCTGTGCAAATTTTGTTTTTAATTCAATAGTTATTTATACCCATAAAATATAGGGGCTCTCTTCTCATTTTTCCTGGTCCCTTGAATTTTGTTCCCTGCAGAAAGAATTCACTTGAGTACCAGGCTAGAAACTATGTTGCAGTAAAAATATGAAAATCCTACAAACTCAGAAAAGCCTGCAGCGACGCTCAGCAAGTCTCTCCACATTGAATAGTTGATTAATAATCAATAGATTTCATCATAGAAAACAAATTAGAAGACATTCACTTTCAGGTGAAACTCCGAGAAATCTATTTTTGAAATTTCCGCACGGATGGGAATTCACGATAAAAATTTTGAATATTTTTGTCAAACTTTCCAATAATGAGTTATAAACCTTATTTAATGATGGACATTTCATGCATGCATAATTATTTTGTGAGAAATGTGTATGATGTGTGTCAGCAGGTGTGAAGTACCAAACGAGAGTAATAATCAGCTATATACATCTGGTTGCAATTATTTTCCAGCAAACCGAGTAAAAGCAAAGTTTTGCAAACCTCACCAATCCTCTTTCAAAGCTGAGAAACTTTTCATGATTTTCATCAATTTTACTGCTTTAAGCCAATCGTGGGCCAGGAAGAACCAGATTTTTCACCGACCAAGAGAAAATGTTTTCTAAACTTTCACATTCCTCCTCGAGTGTTCAATGCTCAAGTGAAAATCTCTATAACCTAGCTCAATTGAAATTTATTTCCTTATTTAGACAGCCAACCGGACTCTAATCATAATTGCTGACCTATGAATTAGATGAAACAACCACATAACAAACAATAGCACTAAAAAGGAATCCCTGGTCTGCCAGAAGTTTAGTCTTTGAACATTTGCAAATTATGATTGCTCAAAATGAAAATTATCCCTTTGTTGGGATAAGGAATCTTGTACCACATTAGTTTCAGCACAAGCACATTCAAATGTTGGCCCTGTCCTTGAAAAAATATAGTGCAAGTATTGTCCCACCATTTATTTGCTTTTGTATGCTTTCCTTGACACTGAGTAATTTTGGCAACAAAAAAAAGCTCTGGACCATAAACACAATGATACTACTGGAACCATGACAAGCAAAATAAACCCCTGCTATGTTGAGCATGCATTGTCATGACCTTCAGACATTGTCTATGATAAAATATAGTCACTGCTGTGATATTTATGTAAATTTTTACCAACAGTCACGTAAAATATATCAATAATCCCTCAGGGCGGATCCCAGACAAT